ATAATAGACACCCACATATTATGCACAACGCTAAATTGGTTTCTTTTTATGCTAATGTTTTTGGCTTTACGGGTTTTTACTTTTAATACTTAGGATTGTCAAATTGTGCTGCAATTTTCTTTTTAAGCTTGTTTATTATGTTCTCTGAAGCTCGATACCTTTGTGCATGTTTTGATGTGATTTCAATCTCTTGGGAAATATTGTGTTAGGGCTCAGTTTACAGAGTACATACAGAAGAATGTGGCTTTGTACCAATTTCGTAATGGCATCCCTTTGACAACAGCTGCTACCGCAAACTTTACTCGAGGCGAGCTCGCCACGGCTTTGCGGAAGGTATATTGTCTGAGTTTATGTACCATCATATTACTTATTTGTGGTTGAGTTTAGGCTTTTTGATCTTTTCGTGGATTGTCTATTGTGATAATATCTGTTGTGGGCTGACCAGACAAAGAAGATAGTGTGTGTGTGTGTGTGTATTCGTTTAGGTTTTTTTATGGGAATATGAAAATCCTAAAGTAGTGTGTCGATTTATAGAAAAAAAGTATGTATACTTTGTTTTATCTTGTACCATGCTAAAGAAATATATAGAAGAACGGGCATGGAAATAAAGTGAATTTTCTGTATCTTTATATATTGGGAAAATTGCAGCAGCGGTTTCTAACATTTTCACTTTTTGTAGACTTTCCCCTAACCATTAATTTGTGCCAACGAAAATTCTTAACCTTTTAAAAATATATGCAGTAGAAGTTCAATTGGATAGAAAACATCAATTTGACTGTTAGTTGACCAAAGAATTGATCTTTACTACAAATTTTACTAATTTTGAAAGGACAAAAGGGTAAATTTACATTTTTTTACATAAAATAATTAAGTAAAAAACTGAAAAAAATAAAAGAAATCTACACCAACCTCTTGCACCTAACCACCCACTCTCATGAAAATAGAAAGGCTAATGGCCGTTGACACTTTCTTCTTACCCAACTCCCACCCACGCCGGTGGGCTATGATGCACCGACACGGACAGGTGTCGAATACGCCGACACGCGATATTTAAAAAAAAGTACAAACACGACATATTATTGACACGTTGATTAAATTCTTAAAAATTCTTCATTTATATGGTATAAATTTAGTTTTATACTTGTTATTAATTTTTCTTGTTGAAATCTTTTAAACACGAATACCTATTTGTTATTGCTAATAATTTTGAATTAACAATATATAATATTAATAATATAAAAGGAAAAATGATTACTGTAGCGTGTCNATAATTTTGAATTAACAATATATAATATTTCTAATATAAAAAGAAAAATGATTAAGATAGAGTGTCTAAGAATTGTCGGTATCGACGTGTCGGACACGGGCACGCTACCTTGATTGAAGTGTTCGTGCTACAGAGCCGGTGGGGCTCAAACGCTTGTAGTCACCGGTTTCCACAATGCCGGCGTGCTTCCCAAAGACAGCTAACACCATTCAAAAGTCGATGTGTAGAATATGAAGCCAAAATTGGAGCAATTTGTGACATAACTGGATCAATTAAAGGTATACCCATCATTGTTCGGTGTTGCTGAGGGAATGTAGGTTGAATTTGGTGGAAAAAGAGCTCCAATTTCGTCAATTGGAAGAGGCATAATTTCCCCAGTCCAAAATTGGGTCGATTAGGGGCATCAATTGAAGCAATTGAGGACACACTAGTGGTCGTATGATGCTGCTAACGATTCGCGTGTTGCTAATTTTGTGAAAAACCATTCCCAAACACATTAATTGAAGAAGATGGAACTGCCTCATTTTGCATCTGAGGCAAACCTCTATTAAACCGAGCTGTTTTTGGATGATGTCTCACAATGAATTGGAGCATCTAGGTGAGGCGAATCGGTTGGCAACGATGCACGACCATGGGTGTCACCGGAGTTGTCAAATTTTGTTGTTGGACAACGCGACTCCCATGGCTTTAAGGGCTGATTTTGATATTCACATGACATTGTTTGTCTATTTAATTGTGTGAGATGTGTTTGTGGAATGGTATCTCGGCTAAGGGATGAAATTCTGGCGAATTGGGTGGCCAGCGGTTGCTTGTGTTTTTTTTTTTTGGTTCTCGGGCGGGGTAGGTGAGGGGTGGAAGATGATGATTTTTTATTTCTTAATTTAATTTTTAACTTTTAGGGATAATATGCAAAGTTACCATTTTGCCCTTTTTCATATGGTCAAAATTGATTAAATTTTGACTTTCTTGGTTAACTAATGGTCAAATGGATGGCTTCCATCTAGTTAGACCTCTACTGCATATTTTTTAAAGGTCATGGACTTTCGCTAGTACAATTTGAAGGTTAGGGTAAAGTGTTCAAAAATTGAAAAGGTTAGAGACTCTTGGTGCAATTTTCCCTTGTATATATTACTTGCTAATTTGTTTTTGGTCTTCAGAATCCATATATGGTGAATATCATTCTAGCTGGCTACGACAAGGAGACGGGCCCTTCCCTCTACTTTGTAGACTATATCGCTTCCCTGCACAAGCTTGATAAGGCTGCATTTGGTTATGGTTCATATTTCGCCCTCTCCATGATGGATAGGCACTACCATAGAGACATGACAGTGGAAGAAGCTGTTAATTTAGTCGATAAGGTCATAATGGAAATACGATCAAGGCTGGTTGTCGCCCCACCCAACTTTGTAATAAAAATTGTTGACAAGGACGGGGCGCGGGAATATGCTTGGCGTGAATCTATTAAGGATGCTCCAGTTGTTGCATCTTGAGCGGTTTTCAAGCTTGTTTCTACTTTCTGAAGCTTTAAATTTTCGTCAGATATACTTAAAAATCACATGGTTGTTGAAATCTTCAAATACTGGATTGTTTTGTGATTGAATTCTTGCTGTTTGATGAAATTTCTTCCGATTCATATTTAAGTACACGTTTTATTAATTTTCATCAAAATCTACTAAAATTCTAATTTTGAGCTAAACCGAATGTAGCCGACAAGATTTTGACATGGATTTGAGACTTAAGAGTATGTATGGGAAGTGTTTAAAATGTTTAAATTATAAGTAGATAGAAA